AGGAGTCTGTGACATTCTCACCAATGATCAAATCATAATTGTTGTTTCTATCAAATGTGTGTTGAGAATTTAAAAAGCCTTAAATTTTTTTCTCTCCTTAGTGAAAATAAATTTTGTTTAAAGTATTCTAAAGAAGCTTCCAAATTATAAGGTAAATAGTATACTTGCCTAAATGTAAATACAAGCAGAGATCAAAGTATGAATTTCAAAAAATTAATGGGGGCAAATTTTTCTGAACAGAAACTGCATCAGTAAAGTGGTACAAATTGTGATTAGAAATCAAAATTTTTAAGTTCTTTTGTTTTCCAAAGTTTAGTTTACCTTTAATGTAAATTTCTTTAATGTAATGATAATTGATTAACTTGTGCATTTTTTTTTATAGGAAATGAAAATGATGAGAGGAAGGATAGTTTGAGCTTTCCACTTAGACATTTTGAAACGTTGGGATTTAAGTAGAACTGGAGCTTACTAAGAGATTTTAAGAACAAAACAAAGGAATGGGAAACATGCAGCTTCTGTTTATCTAGTGCAACAATTGAATTCCAGTAAAGCAGAGGAAATTTGGATATCTTAGTTAGAAGAGATTAGCTTTTCAAGAGTAGATTGAAAAACTCAGAGAAATACTGTCATTGAGAAATACTATCATTTGAGACCTGACACTCCATTGTAGAAAAACTTTTCTCTTTTTGAGTTAACTTGTTTCTTTTTAAAGTAAAAGATTCCAGATGAAGGGTAACATGTTTTAATGAAAGTCATAATTATTCTAGTAAATTCAATATATATTTCTCTAAAGACTAAACATTAAACTTTCAGCAAAATATTTTATTCTTTTTCCTGCAAGAAGGTTTGTCTCTCTCTTAAAGTCAACTTGGATTAGCACAATCACCTCTGCTGTCAGTGCCACTCAGCCTGGATGCAAGTTTGGAGGTCATGGCTGGAAACAACTGGGAGTTGTTCTAGGAGGCTGCCTTGCCTTTTTAGGTTATGAGGGTCTCTCTGTGTTTAGGATAACATGATTGACAACTCCACTCTAGCTCCAATTAGCACCCTATAATTTATTAGCTTCTGCTTTCAGATTATGCGCTAACTTCACAAATATTTCAACCACGGAAACAGAAGCTATCGAGTGTCTCTTTCCTGATCCAGCCCTCTGGGGCTGGAGTGAAATACAAGGAAAGAGCGGTACAGTTGGTCTGTCAAGTGAGAATAATCATTTGTGTCTGTGCCTGTCTGAGGGCATGATGTTTCTAATTTCTCTTTAGCCTTGCATGTATGTGTGTGTGTGTGTGTGTGTGTGTGTGTGTGTGTGTGTGTG